TTTCCCTTCTGGCTCCTAGGACATGTGTCTTCTGCTTCTCACTTTAAGTTTGGGCCAGTTGGTACAAAGGCACTTGCTGATTATATAAGTGCTTTTGTTCAATCCATTTACTTCTACTTGGTGCCTAAAATGCTGTTTGTATGGACTTTCTTTCACGTACCTTTCTCTCTTTCTGTCCGACACACACACACACACACACACACACACACACACACACAAAGACATGTGTTCATATCCACACGTATGCACATGCTAATCCCCAGGTCTTAAAGGCTAAGGGCATCCCTGCAATATTGCTAATGTCTGTGAATTCATAGAATGGAGGAAAGAAGTTGTTCACATGGGGTTGGGTCTCCCCCTTGCATTCATTCAACAAGCACTGATGTTACTTCTGAGCTGGGTACTACCAGGCAAGGTCCTGCACTTTAAAGTGCTTGCTCTATATTTAATGGAGCAGACAGAAAACTAAATGACCATCTATTTTCTTTTCTTCTCTTTTCTTTCTTTCTTTTTTTTTCTTATATGGGGGTAAACCCAGGGGCACTTAACTTCTGAGCCACATCTCACCTCTTTTTTATATTTTATTTAGAGACAGGGTCCTGCTGAATTGCTTAGGGCCTTGCTCAGTGGCTGAGGCTGGCCTTGAACTTGCGATGCTCTTGCCTCAGCCTCCAAGGCTGCTGGGATTACAGGTATGTGCAGCTAAATGGCTATATATTTCACTATGTGGTATTAGGTAGAGCAGGGAACAGTGAGCTCTCCTTGGGTATCTTGAGGAAGGCTTCCCTGGAGGTGACTTGGCTCAAAGCAGCATGATGGGTCCTTGCCAGGGACAATTGTTCATAGGGGAGGAAAGAAAAAAGGAAACTTCAGCCCATGACCAGCCCCTTGGAAGGGGTAACTATGAGATATCTCTGGGTATCCAGACAGGTCTACCCTTCCTGACATCAGCTCAGTGTTCTGGTTCATGTTGGTAAGAACATAATCTAGGTCAACCCTTCCTAGAACAGGAATAGAAAAAAGCAACCAATCTCCACATTTTCTTGCCTTTGATTTTATGTTTATCAAGGGAAATCTTGTTTTCATTTTTATAGCAAATGTTTATGACTTTGAACCAGGAACTTGCCTGGGTTGTTTCTCCTGTGTTGCTGTATCCTGTTTCCTGAGTTGCTAGTTTTGAGATTAAGACTTTTAAGAGGGTTTCCAGCCACATCAAAGGGCAGAGACTGAACCCAAGGTAGCTATGGGAGATCTCTCTAGCCCATTTGCCTGGTAATTGCTTCTCCCAAGGAAAGAGTGACTCTGAATACCCAGATATGGATAGATTTTGTCCCTGCCTAACACAGGCATGGCAGCCTTACACAGTATCTTGGTTCTGCATTAGAAACTTCATAGTTTCAAGCAATAGCAACCACCTCTGCCTGACCCATTCACAAATGAATTAGAAGGTCAGTGGCTCAGAGAATTGACTGGAAGGCTACAGAATCAGCCTATGAAACAGAACCAAAGAAGGCTGTGCAGCAAGAGCAGGAAACTGATTAGGATGACCACTGTCATCACCCCCCAAACTCTTAATTGTTTCTTACCTGTCCCTGTGTCGCTATGTCACTCATGTGAGTCCCAGTTTCTGGCAGGAACATCAATTGGTTAAGTCTAGGTCTCAGACCAACACTGTGGCTGGACTGGCTTTCAAAGTAGGAGAAAAGGGCTCTATCTCCCCAAGATGTACACAGTATGGGATCCCCTGAAAAAGGAGGTGTTCRGATGTCCACCACAGCCCCAGGAGGGGATCAGTGAGCAAAGGTCTCCCATGGGGGACCCTGGTATATAAACCAACACTGAGAAATAATATCAGGACTGGAATTGAGTTGTGATTGTGTTTCTCACAGGACAAACACAAGTGAGGAATCAGAAATGATAACTGATACCACTTGCTAACAGTCTCCTATGAATCCGGCACTGAATACATAAGATCAGATCTCATTTGATCTTTCCCTGGAAGCTATGTAGTAGTATCCCTGTTTTACAAATGAAAAAATGGAGCTTCAGGAAGGTTGTTGGGATATTTCCAGGGTTACACAGTTACTGGCATCCAAATTTAGGTCTGCTAGACTTTGGAACTTGCTTTCTTACTACACTGGTTTTCCTATCCTGGGATATACTGAATTGCAGAACATGTTTTTGTCCCTGTTTTATTGCGAAAAATCAAAGTTGGGAATGAGTCTGTCTATAAATCCATCTTCGACACTTCCAGGAAGCTGCTGTCAGTTGTTCTTTGTCCCCAAATTCCTTTGGTATTGCCCAGTTAATGGATACATTCCCCTTTTGTCTTGCTAATTGATCTGCCAGAAAAGTCAAAAGTAACTTGCTATTTTATTTGTTATTGTTTTGTTTCTACTTCTCTTGATGCTTTCCTTGAACTCCTAACTACTGTGTGTGTGTGTGTGTGTGTGTGTGTGTGTGTGTGTGTGTGCGCGCGTGCATGTTTGCAGCCCTGGCAATGTTCCCAAAATATAATGCATGGACAACAATGGATGCTGGATATACCAAAACTGAGGTTTTGGAGCAAAGTCTCCTCTGAGTAACTGATAAGATCCACCAGCTAAGGTCAGAAAGGTTTTCCAGGGGAATGTTGGGGCATTATTCTCTCTCTCCAGGGCCAACAGTCAGCATTCATCCCACATGCACAGGGCATGGTGTCACCTAATTCAGTGCCAAGTCCAGCGTGCAGCCTCCCTGCATAGCCTTGGGCCCAGAGCTCTGAAATGGATTGTTCTTTCATTTAAAATGCTGACCAGGTGACCTCTTAACAATTGGAGATCCAGGAAATTTGGATTAAACAGTAGGGCGCTTCTAGGAGGGGGGATTTTAGGAGTCTAGGAGACTATCTCTTCCCTTTGTAGGGTATAAACACAAAAGGGACAGTCTGGCCATTCATGGCCTGAGGAGGTTGTTATYCTCTCTGGTTTATGCTGTTGGGGTCCAGTTTCTGCTCTCGGGACTAAAATGAACCTTAAGGGACAATTTCCTCTTGGTCCCAGGAAATAGTAAAGTTTGGTCCTCTGGACTTGGCAGAAGAGGAGAGAAATCCATAACCATCCATCTTATTTATTTATCCTCTTTTATCCAAGATAAAACGTGAATGAGGACAGATCAGAGCAGAGGAATGAAATGGTCTGTWATGGTTTAGATCTGGAATGCCCCCCAAAGTCTCATGTTGAAACCATGGTCCCTAATGCTGCGAGTTTCAGAAATGGGGCTTTTAGGCAATGATTGGATCATGAGGGTTCTGACCTCATCTGTATATCCATAGGAGCTTAATGGGCTACCGAGAGATAGGACCTAACCTGTGAAACTATGAGTCAAAATAAAGTTTTCCTCTTCTATATTGTTTGTGWCAGGTATTTTTGCCACAGTGACAAAAAGCTAACACATGGTCCCAGGCCTGGAATGAGCCAGGCTGGGGGAGAAAAGTTGAGTTATTATGATCAAAACAAACAGGCTGGGATTTCACCCAGTCTCTGTAGGGAAAAGGTAATATACGTGTACTCACTAGGAATGTGACAGCCCAGCATTCCTTCCCAGGAACTGTGGATCTCAAAGCTTCCATCCCAGGACAGCTAGCCCTCACCCAACCTCAGAGGTCTTGCCTATCCAGAGCCCCCAAAAGAGATGATGAGTTTAATTCTCCTTGTACTTCATTCTTGAAGATCCTTCCTGTAAAGTCCTATCTTTGGACAAGTGGGGTGAATTCAGTGCAAATTTAAAAGTGAACAAACTTGCCCTAAAGGAGCAAGAATTTCAAAAGGGACAGTTCTCAAAGCCAAGGGGTTCTGAGTTTCTGTCTTRGAGACAGCTCCTGTTGAAGTTGACCCCCAAGTCCAGATGGGAGTTTGAAGGAGCAGGGCTGGTAGAGCATCACTCTAAGAAGCTAGGCGCAGGTGCCTGCTACCTGCACCCACCAGAAGATCTAGGAAGTCAGTGTTCCTCAGGATCTCAGTGCCCCAGGAAATAGCAGCCTTCACTTTTAGCTTGAGTTCTGGGTCCTGCTTATCAACACAAACATATCTTTATCTGCCAGCATTGCCAGGATGGGAGGACATGGTCCCAGCCTCCGGCATGCTTATCCTGTGTGACATGAGGGCAGCAGAGAGACCTGGGRGCTGAAGGATTTCAGCAAAGGGCACTCTAAAGGAAAGGCCCAGTTCTTGGCGGAGTGAATATTCATAGGATAGAGTTTTGGTAAGATGGGRCAGGGGAGGAGAGGACATAGCAAGAAAAGCATAGCGTCAGATAAAGGCAGGGCATTCTTTGGAGTATGGAGGATGCCCCAGAGGTCAAGACCTTGAGAGCCTTAGGTGGTGTGCATATGTCTAGCACACAAAGACCCACTTAGGGAAGTTGGGGTGGACACACAGTCTTCAGGTTTCCTACCACCCTCAAGTAGCAGGAGGGCCTAGACTCTGCTGGGTAGTGGGTGAAATGCAAAGGTGACAAGAATAGTAGACAGAAGGCCACGGTGGGAGTCAATAAGCTTGAAGAGTCCTGGAAATGCGGGTCTGGAAGAGAGTTGTCAAGGGGTGCTGTTGCCATCTGAACCATACAGAGGAACAGGAAGGAGCCTCGAGTTTTGGGMGCATTTTCTCCTCAGAGTTTGAGAGGAAAGGCTGGGGTGCTCCCCTGGCCCCTTGGAGCCCATCCTGGACCTCCCCACAGTAGGGACTGTGGGATGCTTATGGTTTGTCCGGCCAGTCGCACTAAAAATGGGCGGCTGTTGCTGTGGTCGCCCTTTACCTTACGCTCCCGGGGCCAGAGGCCTGAGCACGGTGGGGGAACAAATTGTCCACATTTTTGGCCCTGGACTAGGCTGACTAGCAGACACTGGGAAGGGGCGGTGGCTCCGGGGGCAGCGCTCGCCCGACTCCTCGCTCCCGCCCCTCTTGGCCGGAGGTGGCGCCTCCCCTGTGGCTGCGGCCAGAGCTTGGAGGTGGGGTCGGGGAGCGCGAGCCAGGGCTCTGATGTCACCGCGCGGCCGCGGGCGCCCAGGAGAGAGTCTCAGGCTGGAGCCTCAAGTAAGCGGCGGGGCCGGGGAGTAGGGAGGGGAGGGGAGGGGAGGGTGGCGGGGTCCTTGGGTCTCCTTCCTGCGAGGAGGAGGCTGGGGAGTTTAAGAGGGGCGGTGGCGGCAGCGGTGGTGGCTGCAGGGTTGGGAACAGCCGGTGTGTCGATCTGTCGGGAGGGGTCCTACTGGGAGTCCAGTCTGGTTACTCGAGTGGAGTCAGGCCCCTGCGCACCTTTACCTTTTGCCAGGGTCTAGGAGGGGACAGACCCACCCAGCTGGAGGAGCTCTTGGGGGCGCTGTGTGTGACCAAAACACACCGTGGAGACTTACTCTGCGACCCCCTGTTGCTGCTTTACGGTTGCGGAGCAGCTGGAGAAACGGGTCCCTCCTGCCCCAGAACTTGCCCTCCCCCTGTCCGCGATCTGAGCCCTACTTCGCAGACTGTAAACCCCACAGGAAAAGAGAAATGCTCAGGTCGACGGCCATCCGCTCTCCCGCGGCTCGGCGTGGCTCGGCGTGACTCTGCCGCCCTCTGCGGTCGCCAGAGCCTGCGCCTCTCTGCTGTCTCACATGTCCCAGATCTTGAAGCAGCAGGTATGTGGTCCATCCACAGCCACAGCCGCCCTTCCCCAAGAGCTACCAGCATCCTGCATTTCCTGCTCAAAAAGGGGAGCTAGGGTTTCTGGAGACTCTACGATTGGGCTGCAGAGACCACTGAGTCTGAAAACCAGCAGCGCAGATACTGCGTGGGGTGTTCTGTCTGCATGATGAGGCTGGGAGAGCCACAGAACTTGCCAGAACTCCCAGCCAGTCAGAYCTAGCTGGGATGCTGGGATTCAAGACATAGTCCGGAACCTCGGAACCCCGTCTGGCAGGGAGATCGTTATGCATCCAGCGTCCCCACATTGAGTCCCATCCTGAAGGAATACCAACACAAAAGGGTGGCTTGGGCAACGTATCACAGACAGATCAGATGGGAAGTGGCCTTTGATAAAGGGAGGATTTAATTCTGATGATTTGTTGCATTTGGGGTTCTCTTGTACCTCTCTGGTGAGTTTACCTATATTTACTCCCATTGCTTTGGTGTGATTTTTATCCACAGGAAACTGTCTTCATCGATTTCTCCAACATCCTGTAAAATCCTGGGTTTGTCTGTCCTACCCTCTTTGCAGAGCTCCAGACCCACATTCCTACTGTGGCCAGACTTGCCACAGACATGGAAAGGCCTACAGACCCCAGACTAAATGAGCACTGGACCCCTTGGCCAGTCCTCAACCCTAGTTTCCTCCTTCCAGACTGGCACCTCCATCCCCCAGACCTCTGGCTCTGAACCCTGAACCCATATTTGTCTTCTCTTCCTGTCTTGCTCCTTCATTTAGATGAATGGAATGTTCTTATGGAATGTTTCCCTACTCCCGGGCCCTTATCTGGTGGTTTCCTAGCAGGGATTTCATGCTCTCCCCTTGCTCTAGTGGGGCTTGGTAAAATGAAGCCTCTGGGCTTCAGTTCAGCAAGAGGCACAGTCTGTGCTGCCCAGCCCACAACTGACACTAATGCTGAGGCTGGGACTTCTAGGATATGGCTTCCCTGTCCAGCCACAGGGACTGTCTGGACTGTAAGAGGCTTCTTGTATGCAACCAGATGAGTGTGAAACTCCTTGCTCCTATGCTGAAGGTCCCAAACACACACCAAAGCATCTGGGCTGTGGTGATATAGCTGGTTCTGAAAAAGGGCTGATGTGAACATCCTGTGCGGACATTAACCTACTGGGGCCATCAATGCAAAAACATCCTCGAGACAAGTTAGGATCCATAAGAAACAGACAAGTATACACATGTTTTATCCTCCATTCCAATTCTTTTTATCTGATGAATTCAGAATCTTTTGTTTACACAGTAACTTCAAAAAAGATATATTTTCATGACCTCTTTTTCCATATTGGGGATTGAACCCAGGATCACTGAACTACACCCCCAGTCATTTTTTGGGGGGGAGGGTAAATGGAGGTTACTTGGGATTTAGGGTCCAGGGGTACTTTACCACTGAGATACATCTTCAGTCTCCCCCCACACACACTTTTTTTTTTTTTTTTAATTTTTGAGGCAGGATCTCACTAATTTGCTGAGGCTGACTTCAAACTTGTGATACTCCTGTCTCAGCCACCCCTATTGCATCCCCAGCCTCATTAAGTAGGCCAGCACTCTGACCTACTTAAAAATCCTCCTGCCTCAGCCTCCTGAGCAGCCAGGATTACAGGTGCCACCACACCTGGTGATTTTCATGACCTCTTTTGAGAAAGTATCTTTGTATTTGGTCACCCCTGCCTTTTGCAGCCAACATAGGCAGGAATGGGTGGCATGAGCTAGCCCATGAACTGGGCTTAGAAGGACTGTGAAGAGAGAGAGCTGGTGTTTGAGGTCAAGAGTAGACTTCCTAGAGGAGGCAATTGTTTTCCTAGGAGCTTTACTCAAGAGTAGATTCTTGTTTAGAGAGTAGAAACATTTTGCAAAACATGTTCCCAAACCAGAGTATGTGGACCAATCTGCAGGGCTGTGGTTAATGGTCACGGAGATGCCCCCAGGCAGATGACATCAGATGTTGTGAGCTCCAGGTCTGCTGAAAGCCCTCACTAGGGATGTTGCAACATTCTCTCCCATATCCTCCCACCACTAACCCCACTACCTGTCCTCACCAGCAATCTGTAGTATCCTGGGTCTCAAGGTGGTGGGTGGAAGGTGACTCTGAATTACAAATAGTTTCTGGGATGCTCAAATAAGCCTGCTTTTCTATTCCACTCCAGTTGTGGATCACCAAAATCTTTCTATACTCTCCACCAAGCATCTTAGGAAAGATAAGCTCCCCKCCTAGGTTATTGGGAGCCCCAGGTTGCCAAGCCTCAAAGCTACTATCAGCTGGGCACAGGGGTGCATGCCTATAATCCCAGTGACTCGGGAGGCTGAGGCAGGAGGATCGAAAGTTCAAAGCCAGCCTTAGCAACTTAGCAAGGCCCTAAGTAACTTAGCTGGACCCTATCTCAAAGTAAAATATAAAAACATGCAGGAGATAATGACTCAGTATTTAAGCGCCCCTGGGTTCAATCCCCTGTACCAACCAACCAACAAACCAAACCAACAAAAAAGTCACCCTGACGCAGGCACACACATCCACCTCTTCCCTTTGCTCCCTCTCCCAGCACCGGGGAGGTATGATTTCCAGCCACTCCTACTGTGCCTACCCACTCTGTTTGTTTCTAATAATAGATAAGTAACCTGGCTGGTCAGGGTCTAATAGTGACAAGCGCCTCACCTATTCTGTTCCTTCTCCAGAAAAGACTGTCAGAAAGGCAAGAAGGGTGGGCAAAAGCCAAAAAGCCCTCTTCTTTTCAACCAAGGCCACCCCTACATCTTTTCCCTGAAAATCTGTTCCTTCCCCTGCCATTCAACAAACATTTATTTAACATTGACTGCATGCTAGGCACTGTGTCAGGCACTGAGTGATGAATAAGGGCAGGGCCTGTCCTCAGGAAGCTCAGGGGTGGGAATGGGGAAGGGAATGGTAAGCTAATAATTATATTGCAGGATGGTGAATGCTGTGGAAACTCAGGACTGTGGGCATCACAAAATACAAAGAGACCTCTAAGCTTAGTCAATTAGAGGAAGCAAGAAAATCAGGGCAAGGGGTGGGAGTCAGTTAGTCATTCTCAGACAAAAGTCAGTATCTCAGAAATAGTGTATTCTGGAATCTGCCAGTAGTTTGTGGGGAGGCAATATTTCCCATGTGAAGTTTGAGCTTTGTTGGGTTTGGAAAGGACATGATAAACTGGTTTTCAGTAGGGTTGCCTCTAGGAAATGGATTCTTGTTGCAGTGAGTTTGGAGGCATGCCCAGATTTCAGCCAGGGCTCTGCCACTTACCAGCTGTGTGCCCTTGGACAAATCATTTCCCCTCAGAATCTCAAGGTCCTTATCTGTAAAATCCAGATAGTGGTGAGAATCAAGATGAATATTTATATGAAGACCCAGAATATAAGAATATGCACAGAAGCAGGGAGAGAGGCTGTGATGTTGCCCCTGCCCTCTGTGATCTGAGAACATTTTCAGCATTGTTTTATCCGGCAGAGATCACATGGAGAAGCTAGCAGAGATCACATGGAGAAGCTAACGAAGTGGCAAGGAAGCAGCCTGGGTGGAATAGGTGGGGGTTGGTGCACAAGTATGTTCTCAGCGCAGCAGGAGGTGGCAGGGTAGAGGCCTCCACTGGGAGTCCTAGCAGGGAATGGACTAAGTGCCAATCGCTTTCCCTGAGCAGAGGCCCTCAACTTCCAGAGCAGCTCTCTGCGATTGGTCTTACTGCCCATGCCATCCTTGACCCCAAGGTTACTCTGCCAAAATAATGTCATCCTATGGGCCATGTGACCAGAGGGGACGTGTAAGCCTCTGGCTCTCCGTGGTGAAGGGCCAGCAGTCTGTCYTAGCCTTTACTTGGAACACCACCACACTTGTTTTTCTAGGATCCACGGAACCAGCCTGCTCCTTCTGCACAGCCATGGAAGCCCTGGGTCCCAGGGACGACAGCGCCTCCCCGGCCTCATCCACACCAAGCCTAGACTTACGGCGGCTGTCCACTCGCGCCGACTCGGCCTATGGTTCTTTCTCGGCCCCTGAGGCACGCACGCCTTCGCCTCGYGCGGATCTCCACCCTTACCTCGACTGGGAATACGTGCGCGTGGTTTGGGGCGGCCCGGCCCCAGCTCCCCCTGATGCCGATCCTCCCACCACGCAGCGGCCGAGGCCAGCTGTTGCTGCGTGCTGTGAGCCATGGCCCCCAGAGGTCCAGGGAACCCCGGGGCCACTCAGCAGACAAGCAACCCCGCTGCTATACGCGCTGGCTGCAGAGGCTGAGGCCGGGGCGCAGGCAGCCGAGCCACCCAGCCCGCCAGCTTCCTGGGCGGCCTACCGCCAGCGATTGCAGGGCGCGCAGCGGCGAGTGCTCCGGGAGACATCCTTCCAGCGCAAGGAGCTCCGCATGAGCCTGCCCATCCGCCTGCGGCCAGCTGTCCCCGCGCGGCCCCCCACTGCGCACCCGCGTTCCGCCTCGCTTAGCCACCCGGGCGGGGAGGTAGGACCCACGSGCTCCGGGGCTCCAGCGCCAGGATCCACTGGTCCGGGGCGCCTCGCCAATCAGCAGGGGAAATGGTGCTTCTCAGAGCCAGGAAAGTTGGATTGCATGGGTCGGGGTGGTGGGCTGGCGCGGGAGTGCTTGAGCTTGGCCTGCTCCAGCTCTGGCCTCAGCAGTCCTGAGCCCCAGGAGTTGCAGGCTGAGGTCAAAGGGTTGCAGTGTTGGGCGCAGGCTGAGGCCCAACCCCAAAGCACAGCGGAGCTGAACTCCGGGTCCATGAAGCTTGGCAATGCCTGTAGGCCTGCCAGTCGGAGTCAGAGCCCGTCAGGAGAGGTCTTGAGCCCCTGGAAAGGTCCAGGAGGGGCCGTGGCCCCTGTCCAGGTATGGAGATAGAGGATGCAGGCTTGTGGTGGAGGGGAGCATGTGGGAGATGACCACATTTCAGTCAACTGCTCACCTTTCCAGGCTGTTTCCCAAGCAGCAGAAAACCCCAGACCACCGTTTCAGACCAAACTTTCCAGGTGAGACACATGGACCACTCTGGAAGTTGTGGGAGGCTGCTTTCACAGCTCTTGCTTAAGAAAGGACCCTGCCAGCCCCTCCAGCCAACCCTCATTTTGAGCCTTCTGTCTTGCAAACTGCACACTTTTCTGTTTCCTTGGTGCAGCACAAAGACTTTCCTTCCTGGTCACTGTGGTCAGTGTGAGATCCCTGCCTCCAGATTCTTGACACAGAAGGAAGCTGCACTGGTGCATCCTGCAGAGGACCCCCAGAGCAGCCCTGCCAAGTGTGAGCAAGAGGTCTCAGAGATCTGCATGGAGTCTCCATATGCCCTCCTTCCCTCCCTTCCTGATGATGAAGTGTTCCTGGAAGAAACCCTGCATGTTGGAATGAGATCACTTCCAGACTCCCATATCCCCCAGGAGTTTCCAATCAGGTGAATTCCTTCTTGCTTCCAAGCAGAGTGAGACACTCTCCCTCACACATAAACCTCTAGAAATGCTAGAGGGGCAGGGAACCTTCTCCTAGCTGGATCCTGGAAGGCTAGGTAGTTGGGGTGGGGGTGGGGGAAGGCATCCCTCGAAGATCACTCTGGCCTCAGTCAGAGATGTTTTTTTTTTTTTTTTGATTCAGTATCTTTTCTGTTTCCAGTGTCCATGCCTCTGACCAGCAGTGTGGAACTGGCTTGGGCCAAAGGACTGGCCAGGCTTCAGTCCCCCCAGAGTGCACCCTGCATGAATGTCTGGGGACTGCAGGGGCAGGTGACTGCTGGCAGGAGATGAATGGTTCTGTGGGTATCTGCAGGCCCACAAGCTATATCCCCCTTGGGACTGCAAATGGTGACATCTCAATCATTGATACCAGTGGACTGCTTACCACTGACCACCCTGCAGTTGATGCCCTGAAACCTTCAGGCAAAGATAAACTAGGGTCCCCTCACCATACTTCCCTGGCCTGGGGTACTGGACAGCCTGGTTCCAAGCCAACATGGCCATGTCAACGTCTTGAGGAGCTGGTTCAGGAGCTGGCCAGACTGGATCCCTCTCTAAGTGATACTCTTACCTCCCAGCCATGCCCAGAGCCACCCCTGGGCCTGCTGGATGGGCTGATTCCTTTAGCAGAAGTCTGGGCTGCAATGAAGCCAGGCTGTGGTGAAGCTGGAGAAGAGGGTCCTGGTACTTCTGAGCCAGGGTGAGTGAGAGGCACCAGGGGCTCAGGATTCTAAGCTTCCACAGTCTGGGACAGGACAACCCAGGGAATTCTAACTTTGTCCCCAGGTCCTATCAATTCAACTTTACCCAGCTCCTGCCAACTTCTCAGGAGATGACAAGGCCTGAAAACTCTCCCTCCTGTCCTATGCCTGACTGTCCTAATGCCCAAACATCAAACAACAGCATCCAGGCTAAGAAAGTGAGTGTGGAGAAGTTGGTGGACGCTGGGTGGGGCAAGAGTCCAGTGTCTGGGCTGGGAAGACAGAGGCCCAGCCCTGGCCTTGAGTACCCAGCCCCTCCCTGTAGGTGGAGCTAGCTGGCCTTCTCCAAGAGATGCTGCAGGACCTTCACATCCAGGAGGAGCAGCTGCAAGATGCTGCCCAAGAATGGACCAGACGCAGGGTGGCTCTGGAATCCGCAGTGGGCCAGGCCTGTGCACCCCGGGAACTGGAGCGGTTCAGCCGGTTCTTGGCCGACCTGGAGCGCGTCCTTGGCCTCCTGCTGCTACTCGGCAGTCGCCTGGCCCGTGTGCACCATGCCTTAGCCCGGATGGGCCCAGATGGTGACCCTGATGAGCGGGTAAAGGGGGTTCAGGCTGGGGGAGAATTGGGCGGGGAGGCATTTTTGTCTCTGGCTGAAACCATCCCRGGATCAGCGGTGCCTTACTGCTGTCACAGCATTCTCTCCCTGTGGCTCTAGGACTCTCTGTTGCAGCGACTTGGGCTTCTGCAACGGCAGCAGGAAGATGCCAAGGAGCTGAAGGAGCATCTGGCTCGGCGTGAGCGGGCCCTGCGYGAGGTGTTGGCGAGGGCACTGTCTGCAGAGGAGTTGTGCTCCTACAGTGAGCTGCTGGTGGGCAAGGCCACCCTTCTGACCCAGCAGCGCTGCCTGGAGGAACATGTCCGGCTCTTTCAGAACCAACTAGACGCTCTTGGGAGCAACCTTGACCTTCGTCCCATCTCTCCCAGGCCGTCCTGGCCCCCRGAGACCTGCCCTCAGGATAAACCACCCTTCCTTCCTCCCTCTATCTAGTTACAGGTGGCAGGATGGGGCACTGCCCTACCTCACCCACACAACTGGGGCCATGCTGGCTTATTGGGTGCTTTCCCTTGAGGAAGCCAGAGAAGACCCAGGCTGGTTGTTTTCCCAGGCTACTCCTTCCTGGTATTCTCATGTGACCTTACCCATGTCTGGTGGGTTATTTAGGGATTAACTTAAGAACCTTAAAAATGGCAATATCGCCCATTTTTATGATGAAAGAGGGGCTTTGTTAGTACTGGTTGGAGAAAGAGGAGACAAGTCTGAGGAGCACTTCTACTTGAGATACAAAATGGCCTTATTTTTTCAATAAAAGTTTCTAATAGAAGTGTGTGTGTGTGTGTGTGTGTGTGTGTGTGCGCGCGCGCGCACGCACGCGCATGTGTATCCATCCTGCACACAAATGGAAAGAAGAGGAAAAGGAAGGGGTCTTGTTTATAAATGCAGCCACCAGGGAGTGGAGTAGGCCCACCCCTATAATCCCAGCAACTCAGTAGGATGAGGCAGGAAAATCACAGTTCAAGGCCAGTCGGGCAATTTGTGTCTCAAGATGAAGGTTTAAAAAGGGCTGAGGTGGTAGCTCAGTGGTAGAGTGCTTGCTTAGCATGCTTAAGGCTCAAGGCCCTGGGTTCAATCCTAATACCTACAGGCCCCAGTCCTGGCTGACCAGAGCAGAAGAGGGACTTGGCAGAATATCAGGTCTGGCAATGTCTAGGAAGACTGAAAGTAAAAGTAAAAAGGGCCAGGTAGACAACGGGCTCTAAACACCACTGCCATTACAGTAATTAGCTATTATGTTGACTGCATCACTATCACAAAAGCCTAGGTCTGATCAGCTGAGTCCAGGTCTCCTTAGCTGGTTTTAAGCAGACCCTCTCAACTTCAGTATGGAAGTTGGAGTACTATCTCCTTTTAAGATTCAAGGAAGGGCTGGGGATGTGGCTCAAGCAGTAGCGCGCTCACCTGGCATGCGTGAGGCCCAGGTTCGATCCTCAGCACCACATACCAACAAAGATGTTGTGTCCGTCGAAAACTAAAAAATAAATATTAAAAAAAAAAAAGATTCAAGGAAGAGGGAATTCCCCCAAATTGAACATGGGTAAAGATCTTTGCTGCCTAAAATCCTTTACAAATGCCCAGTACACTTGGATATTTGGGAACATTCATCCCAAGACTCAGAAACAATTTTCCTCTTCCGGTTCAAAACTTGGAGCTGGGCACCATGGTCCACATTTTAGAACCAGCATTTGGGAGGCTGAAATGAGAATATTTGCTTGAGACCATGAATTCAAGACCAGTTTGAGCAACATAGTGAGACTCCACCTCAATAAACAAAACTGAGCTTATTCAGTTCTTTTTCAGAGGCCCCCACTGAGTTAGCCAGGGCAGTGAGGGTAGTTGAGGATAGAAACTGAAAGGGAGGAGTGGGATCTGGAGACCCTCCATGCAGGGACAGAGCGCCTGGAAAGGCAGCTGCAGTTGTACACCAAAGAGAATTATCTGGGGGTGGGCTGAGGTGGTATGAAACATAGAACAAAGTCCCCACCACTTGTGCATCAGCTCTATGTACATAGAATCAGGTTTGCAGTTGTGCATGTGAAAATGTTTCAGTATTGTAGCTGTAAACACCAGAGACAAGAATATTATTCTGCAAAGGTTAAGGATATTTTTGGAAGTTGGGCACATTAAAAGGCATGAGTGTGTATTTAAAGCCTACTGACCCTAAAGTGAGAAATCTCTGCTTCTGAGCTTGTTTTCTGATGTGCATTGTCACTAAGTGCAACTGGTTGGGAATTTTAAATGGTTGTATTCATACCAAAAGCATTAGTTATAACAGTCGTGCTATTGAGCACAGAACAATGCTCACATTGTACCTCCTTATAAAAAACATATGGAGCTCCTGCTGAGGCCATTGCGGGTTCTAACATTATGCTTTGCTTCTCTCCTTTGAACACTGTGGGCGGGGTCTCAGTTCCAAGGTCCTCAGCTGAGCAAGTCTGCATTATAGACGGAAGCTACTAATTTCTTCCTTTTTGTCCTGTATAGTTCTCCATTGCATTCTCCCATTATGGTATTCTTAGAAACACATTTAAGCGCTGTTGTCTATTAGGCCAATGGGAATTGTATGTTTCAGACAAAGCACTTCCAGCCTGGGTCAGGCATTGAGTGCATGGGTATGGAGGTAGGGGCATCTGCCATCTTTCGTTGAAACTGAACTTTAGTTCTGTGCTGGTCTTTCCATGGGGGAATATGAAGCGTYTGTGCTCAATCCTGCTAGCTCAAGAGTAGGGCCACTCTTTCTGCTCTGGTCCTTCTGTCTTGCCTGTCCTTCCTGCCGATTTTCCTCACTTCCATGCTGTTATTCCTTCAGAGAGCAAGAATGAGTTGTTCAGACATGTTCTGTATTGCCAACACAGACCTCAAGACTTTTGGGGGACCCGAAGTCCGGTGAATTGACCCTCCAGGACACTGCCAGCAGAGGGCACTGTTCTCTTTAAGGTGAAAGCTACCCCCCACCGTTATCACCCGCAGCCTCTCCAGCTAGCAAACTCTGGTCAAGCCACTAGGACTTTGCCATGTCCTGCAGAGCTGTGGCCCTGCTGGGCCTGAAAACTGGAGCTGAGCCTTTGCTTCTGTCAGAAGGAAATTCTGGCTAGCTAAGCAGGGAAAGGCTGGCTCGCTCTCCTTTGCCACAAGGTCTCTGCTGGAAAGTGCTTGGCTAATGAGAAGTGCAGGGGAGGAAAGCCGGGGGTGTCGATCYTGGGCATCGGTATTACAATAGGCCTTGCGCAGATTCCCAGGGTGGAAAAGAGTGTTGCACGAGTTGCAATTGGGGTTTCTGCCGCCCGACGCCTTTAGCCGCCCGCGTCCGTGACTCCTGGTCGCCTCCCACCCCTGGCTGCCTGAGACTGTGYCCTGGGGCCTTGAAGGAGCTTCGGCTTCTGCTGGAGTGGTTGCCCGGCAACAGGCAGCCCCGCGGCTGCCTCCCCTGCTCGCCTCGCACCGCCCCCGCTGCTCCTCCTAATAAGGATTTAATTAGTGTACTTTTTACCTTCAGACTGTAAATTGGAAGCAGAATGGGGAAGCAGTGTTCCGCGGTGCTCCAAACCAGTGAGCAATCTGTCTTGAACATCCTGCTCGGCACACAAAGTACCTCCCTGAGCGAATGGCGTAAACCTCAGGGATCCTCCTCTCTGGAACAAATTGCCGTGCTGTTCATTCAGATGTAAATCAGAAGCTGAAGAGCAAATTTAGGTCAAACGTAGTTGAGGACTTTAAAGAGAAGAGGTGAAAGGGGAATTTGGGGACGTGGGGAGGCAGAGGGGTACTTGCTATGAAGAAATCCTCCCCCAGGCCCGTAGTGTTACTGTTATAGCCTCTGCTCTTAAAAGGTCACAAAAAGCACGTGTCTGTTGTCTTTGATATTTAAATGAACACGCACTTCCCAGTAGCAGGAATTTTTTTCCTATGTGGGAGAGGTCTGCATTTCTTTCTCCCTTCTCTCCTCTTGCAGGTAGGCACACATCCAGCTACCCGGGCTTCCTAGAGTCAAGTGCAGAGTTAGGCCAGTTCAAGGCAAAAGGCTCTCTGCAGAGCCATAGAGAATCTATTTATGAAACCATTTTCAATGGTCACAGAGTTTCTTCAGGTAAAAGTAAAAAAATGGGGGGAATATGGATCCTGGGTGGGTCTAGACTTATAACCCCGTGTTCTGGGGTTTCACCCCCCCTCCATCCTGGGCAATAGTTTAGGTGTCATAGGTTGGTTGCTAGAGCAATATGGGCTAAGAAAGACAATTGTTTTTAACTTTTACTTATATGTGGTGCTGAGGATCAACCCAGTGCTTCACATGTGCTAGGCAAGCACTCTACCACTGAGCTACAACCCCAGCCCTGAGGCTTCTATTTTAACTAAAATGATATTATATACAGAACAGGATAATTTCCTTTTTGTGGGAATATGTTTTTTCCTAGTTCAGTGAATTAATTTATGTATGCAAATACTGACATGGTAAAAAAAATGGTGATCATATTGAGGAAATCCATAAACCAGTGCTATATAGTTTTGGAATGTAGGCATGTACACTGTGGAACCAACTCAGTACCCTTGTAATATCTCCAGTTGGCAATGGAATTCAGGAAAAGCCTTACTTATTCCATAAGTTCCTCCCTCCCCACAGCCCATTAGAATAGGTACTGCATCATAAGTCCCACAGAGGAAGGAGATGTGAGCTTGGAGAATTGGGTGACTTGCTCAAGGTCCCTAAGTGAGTAAGGGGCTGAGACCACCTTGCTTCTAGACAGGACAGGGTAATGGAAAAGAACACAGGGATGCCACCCCAACTCTGTCATTACTAGCTGTGAGGCCCTAACAAGTTACTAAAAGTTTCAGTTCCCTCATTTTACAATCAAGATATTAATTATATTCCTTATAAGGTTTGGTTAAATATTTAGAGTTGTGCCTGGCACTTGCTTAATGTACATGGCTTATGTTGTATGTATTATCCCTACCCTAGATCTCCATTAGGTGAATGAGACTTGTTCAAGAATACCTTAATCTCCATATGGGAAATGTAAAAATTTATTAGAAAGTTTGCTATGGATATGACTCATGCACCTCAATATCAACGATTAACTTTTCTCCCATTAAAAGGAGTCATTATCCTCTCTGAGACAATTTTACCACCTAAATAGCCTTAACAGTTCATTTTTGGGAATGCCCTTCTAGAGGAGAGCCTATTTTTTTTAATTTTTAATATTTATTTTTTAGTTCTCGGCAGACACAACATCTTTGTTGGTATGTGGTGCTGAGGATCGAACCCGGGCCGCACGCATGGCAGGCRAGCGCGCTACCGCTTGAGCCACATCCCCAGCCCGAGGAGAGCCTATTGCTGGGCAATATATAGTTCTTTTTAAAAAAATTATTAAATATATGAATATATGGTTCTTGAAATCTCTTTTTCTCTCTCTCTGTATGTATTTTCTACTGTCTTACTTTATAATTTCAGAATGTCCTGGTCTGAAATAAAATAACAGTGGTTTTCTAACACCTGAGTTTTAGGTTTACCAATCCTTAACTCTTGCCAAATGTTTTATTTTGCTTGGACACTCTTTAGAAACACAGAGATTCCTTTGGCCATTCAAATAACACTTTTCTGATGTAAGTATGCAATAAACTATTTAATTATTAGTGTTAGTTTAGATTTTGTCTCTCAAGGCAAGTGATATCTGTGTCTGTGATCTGTTATCCTGTCTCAATCAAATATCTTCTTTATCATAGAAAA